CCAACTCAAAAAAAAAAAAAATAGTTAACTTTGGGTTCATTTGTTTGTTTTGAGTCAGAGTCTCACTCTGTCACCCAGGCTGGAGAGCAGAGTTATGATCATGGCTCACCTGTTGTGACCTGTTTCTTGATCCCAGGTGATCCTTCTGCCTCAGCCTCCCAAGTAGCTGGGACTGTAGGCGCTCGCCACGACACCTGGCTAATTTTTTTAATTTTCAGGTTCTTACTATGTTGCCTAGGCTGGTCTGGAACTCCTGGGCTCAAGCAATCCTCCTGCCTGGGCCTCCCAAAGTGCTGGGATTGCAGACGTGAGCCATTGTTCCTGGCCAACAGTTACCTTTCTTTTTGTGGCAAGCAATACTGGATTTGTTTCCTGGTAATTTAAAGATTCCCGTAAATTAAAAACTTTTATAAGTAGAGGAAAAAAGGACCAGGTGCAGTGGCTCATGCCTGTAATCCCAGCACTTTGGGAGGAGGAGGTGGTGAGAGGATCGGGTTCAAGACCAGCCTGGGCAACTTGATTAGATCTCATCTCTACAATAAATCCAAAAAAATTAGCTGGGTATGGTGGCGCACGCCTGTGATTCCATCTACTTGGAAGGCTGAGGCAGAAGGATCATCTGAGCCCTGCAGGTCGATGCTACAGTAGCCCTGAGTGTGTCACTGCACTACACCCTGGGCAACTCAAAAAAAAAAAAAAAGTTGATATATACAAAATAAATATGTAATGGCACAGGTGCTAGGTGAATAAGTAAAAAATTCTTTTTTTTTTTTTTTTTTTTTTTTGAGTCAGAATCTCAGTTTGTCACCCAGGCTGGAATGCAGTGGCATGCTCGTGGCCACCCCAGCCTCAACCAGCTGGGCTCAGGTGATCCTCCCGCTTCAGCCTTCCAAGTAACTGTAACTACAGGTGTGTGCCACCACGCCTGGCTTATTTTTTGACTTATTGTAGAGATGAGGTTTCGCCAAGTTGCCCAGGCTGGTCTCAAACCCCTGGGCTCAGGGAATCCTCTCGCCTCAGCATCCCAAAGTTCTGGGATTACAGGTGTGAACCACCACACCCTGCTGTAAAAAATTCTAACATGGAATGATAATGACTAAAGTTTGGGAAGCACTGCTTTATCTTTTCTGTTGTCCTTCTCAATTACACTGAGAATAATAATAATAAACTGACATTTATTAAACACCCATACCAGGCACTATACTGAGTCTTATATATTCATTAACTTATTTAAAACTCAAAGCAACTCTATGAGGTAGATGCTGATGTCCTATTTTATAGAAACTGAGGCTTTTAACCACGGTCATACATGATGACATTCAGGACTTAAAGCCAAGTCTTCTGGTTCCTGTGTGTGGGACATTTCTCACTATACCACAGTGATCACTTTGATTATTTTTCTGTGGCATCAGTTTCAGAACTGACTAGAGCCACTCCCCTAGAACTAACCTTGAAAAGTCAGGAAGTCTGTAGAAAGGTGCAAAGTGGAGAGACTTTAGACACTTAACATTTATTGACACCTGTAAATTGTCCTCATTCTATCCTTACAGTAGCACTGGGAAAGGTAATCCTAACCCATTTTTACAGTTAGAAAAGGAAGCCTAGAGAAGTTAAGTAGAATTCTCAAAGTAACCAGAGTAGTAAAATATTGTACCTGTACTTTTAACGCAGATTGGTCTTACTCCCAAGTTAAATCCTTTTAGCCACAATTTTTACTGTTAAAGATACTCTGCTACTGTTTTCTGCCCCTGGTTTACTATGTGATTTTAGAGCAGTGATTCTGAATGATTCAGATCTGAAGCTGTCTTTTCTAACCCCAAAGTGAAATTCACAGTTAGTGCAATTTACATATAAGAACATTTTTTTTAAAAAAGCAACGTAATGCTCTATCTATAGCAATCAGAAAAAAATAAAAGGAAAGTAATTTATAATATAATATAATTTATATATATTTCATAAGTGCTTTGTGCAACTGTCTTAGAAGGTATAATTCAGAAGTTAGATGCATACACCCAGCTATAAAATCACCATAATTGGACAGGTTCAGTTGTAGACAGATGCAAATATGTTATCTATTTAAGTATCACAGAAGGTAGTGCAGTGGCTCACGCCTGTAATCCCAGCACTTTGAGAGGCTGAGGCGAGAGGATTGCTTTAGCCCAGGCAATTCGAGACAGCCTGGGCAACTTAGTGAGACCTCATCTCTACAACTAAAAAAAAAAATTAGCCAGACGTGGTGGTGCACACCTGTAATCCCAGCTGTTTGGAAGGCTGAGGCAGAAGGATTACCTGAGTCCTGCAGGTCGAGGCTGCAGGAGCCATGATTGTGCCACTGCACTCCAGTGTGGGCAACAGAGTGACTCCCTACCTCCCAACTCAAAAAAAAAGAAAGGAAAAAAAAAACCATGCCCCCTCCCCAATGGAATTAAGTTTGAGGCTTAGATGATTCAAAACAATTTGGTGAGATACTCAAAAGTAGTGTGAGACATAGGAAAATTTTTTGTGACTGTCCCTAGCATTAAAGAGTACTTAGCGTCTCTTGCCCCTAACAATGACAGTTATATGATTTTTCTCCTCCACCTCATCATTTTGACAATGAAAAAGTTCCACAGATTTCCATAAAGGCCCCCTAGAGGGCAATACCACCCTCATGGAGAACTCCAGTTTATAGAAAACTCAACATCTCTGGTCATAATTGCTCCATCTCGTAAGTGAGGCGGTTGGATTATGCCAGCTCTGACATGGTGTCACATGGCCCCACCAAGTCATCATTTAAACTTAGGTAAAATGCTGCGCATTCTGAACTGGCCTAAGTTCAAGAAAAAGATATTTTTAAGTTGTAAAACATTTCTCTAAATACAGTGTAAATTTCCATTAGCCTGATTGGTCGCAAAATGGTGTGTTCGGTTTCTTAAATGATTAGACCTTCACTGCTTCAAAACTGAACTAAATTTTTTCTAAAATGCATTAAGTCAAAAATGAGAAGCATATAAATAAATTATATTAGATCACGTTTGGGGATAGAATGTTGTAAAAAGTGGTTCTCAAACTTGAAGAATATACTGACTCTTTGGAAAAGAAAACACAATCACAGATTCTTAAGAATCAGGAGCTCTGATTTGAGAGGTACTGACTTTTATATTTTATTTTAAGAAAAATGTCTTCATTTGCAAATTACCAAAGGTTTATCTCTTTTTTTTAGTCGAAGTCTCATTCAGTTTCCCAAGCTGGAGTACAGTGGCATGATCTTGGCTACCACAGCCCTTCCACCTCAGCCTTCCATGTAGCTGTAAGACTACAGGTGTGCCACCACGCCCAGCTAATTTTCTGATTTATTGTAGAGATGAGGTTCTTACCATGTTGCCCAGGCTGATCTTGAATCCCTGGGCTCAGGTAATCCTCTCATTTCAGCCTCCCTAAGTGCTGGGATTATAGGCATGTGCCACAGCGCCTGGCCAAAGCTTTATTTATTTATTTATTTTTGAGTTGGAGTCTCACTCTGTCACCCAGACTGGAGTGCAGTAGCTGCTCCCGGCCACCCCAGCCTCGACCTGCTGGGCTCCAGTGATCCTTCTGCCTCTGCCTTCCAAGTAGTTGGAACTACAGGCGTGCACTACCACGCCCAGCTAATTTTTTGATTTATTGTAGAGATGAGGTCTCGCCTACCCAGGCGGGTCTCGAACCCGCGGGCTCAGGCAATCTACTCACCTCAGCCTCCCAAAGGCGTGGGATTACAGGCTGAGCCACCGAGCCCGGCTTTTATTTTTTATTTTTTTATTTATTTTATTTTATTTTTTTTTTTTGAGTTGGAGTCTCACTCTGTCACCCAGACTGGAGTGCAGTGGCTGCTCCCGGCCACCGCAGCCTCGACCTGCTGGGCTCCGGCGATCCTTCCACCTCAGCCTTCCAAGTAGCTGGAATTACAGGCATTCGCTACCATGCCCGGCTGATTTTTGAGAGATGAGGTCTCGCTGCCCAGGCAGGTCTTGAACCCGCGGGCTCAGGCAATCGACTCACCTCAGCCTCCCAAAGGCGCGGGATTGCAGGCGCTGAGTCACCGAGCCCAGCTCCAGCTTTTATTTTTAAACTAGTATAAGGACTTATTTTTAATGAGAATAAGTATAAGGATATTCATGAAAAAACACAAAGTTAAAAATTTCTTGTAGAATTTCTGTAGTATATTCAAAGAATATAGTTATGGGCCTCAGCTTAAGAAAATGTTTGAATATCTAGGATAGGGCTGAGCACAGTGGCTCATGCCTATAATCTGAGCACTTTGGGAGGCCAAGGTGAAAAGATTGCTTGAGCCCATGGGTTTGAGACCAGCCTGGGCAACTTGGTGAGGCCTCATCTCTACAATAAATCAAAAAATTAGCCGGGCATGTTGGTGCGTGCCTGTAGTTCCAACTGCTTGGAAGACTGAGGCGGAAGGATCACCTGAGCCCAGCAGGTCAAGGCTGTGGTGGCCATAAATGTGCCACTGCACTCCAGCCCCAGCAACAGAGTGAGACTTCAACTCAAAAAAGAATATCCAGGATAATTTAAGCTTGCTTTATTTAAGGTCTTGAAATCCCTCAGGGTCTTGAAATACCCCAGGGTCATGATTCTCAACCCCAATTCTGCAAAGTTATTCAGCAGTGTAAATTTATGAGTAGTTGGAAAAGTCCTTAATTATCATAGTGTGAACAGGTTTTTGTTGTTGTTGTTGTTTGTGTGACCTGCCCTGTGCCCTGCACTCTGCTGCATGCTATAGGGTACAACATAAGACAAGGTAGAAGACCTTGCTCTCAGAGAGTCTCAGTCCAAGTGATAAAACATACAAAGGGAAAATAATAGATACTATGAATCTAGTGCTTAGGATGTGCCAGGTAAAGTGGTAATGACTTTAGATGAGATAATATATATGAAGAACTCAGCTTAAAATCCTTCACTGTTTTCCTTTTGTTCTTAAGATAATGGCCAAAATACAAACCCACCTGATCTTGTATAGTTTGGTTCTTGCCCATCTCTCAAGTCTCGTTTTTACCGCATTTTTTGTAGTTCTCTTTTTTCCAACCATGTGACCTTTTGTTAGATCCTCAAAGACGTAGTATTTACTTCTACCACGGGGCTTTTGCCCATGATATTCTTGCTAGCATTTTCCAAAACATCCTCACTCGTCTTTTTGGTGCTCAAACTGGGAAATGGACTTATTTATCCTTAGGAGTACAACTTAATCCTACATCCTCAGCAAAGGTTTCTCTCAGATCTTGACTCAGTTACCTCCCCCTGTTGTACACTTCCACAATATCATCCATCTCTCTTCCTGGGACAACATAGTTGAATGCTACATTTATTACTTATTATTTGGTTAATGTCTTTCTCCTCCACTAGACTTTAACCTTCATGAGATATTTGCATTTTAATAATTGTTGTTCATGTCACTTAACACAGTACTCAGGTTCAAAAAATATTTGTTCAATGAAAGAATAAATCTGTTATTGTACAGAATATGAGTGGAGGCTTAAGGAATGTAAGTGACTTGCCCAAAATCACATAGCTAATAGTGGTAGATACCGGATCCCAAATCCCTCTGTCCAACTCCAGAGCTTAAATTTTTACCCATTATTCTAGACCCAATATTTTACTGTCAGTGGTAAAGGACCAGTTTGGGGGTTTTTTGGTTTTTCAGTTTCCAATCTCTTGCAGGTGATGCTTTTGTAAAATATTTTGATCAAATGTTTGGATGTTGTGACAACGTCAGATTATTATAAGAGTCTTAATCCTTGTACTCAGTGTTTGTACTTACCTCAACGCAGGACAGTATTGGTATATATATTGACCATACTTTGAATATCTTTAGACTAGCACCCAGGGACCAGGACATATTACATGTCACTTCTATAAGTGTGTTTATGGAGTAGACAACTGTATAGCATAACGAGTCCAAGAGGAGGACTACCAAAGAGAATTCCTTGTGGGCTCCAGTCATGGAGAGAACTTCATGGGGGGGGGCTTGAAGTAGGTGTTAAGTCATGATGGGGTAGAACAGGTTATAGAAAGGGACAACAGAGCATTCTCAGCATATGGAGAAGCTAGAATATGTGTAGGATAACAAGGAGAGCCCTAGGGTATACTGCTTAGAGCAAGTGGCTTGTGCTGCATAGACAGAGAAAGCCAAATGCAGTTTCTTTGTGTTCATTTCTGTCCTCCCCCTCCCCACCCCACTTTTCAAGAAGGATTTCCATTAATTTAAGGGCTTTTTCTCCCTTTAAATAACTTTTGAATACCTAGAAAAAATTAATTTTTTTTTTTTGAGTTGGAGTCTCACTCTGTCGCCCAGACTGGAGTGCAGTGGCCGCTCCCGGCCACTGCAGCCTTGGCCTGCTGGGCTCCGGCGATCCTTCCGCCTCAGCCT